ACAAATATTTCCATCTTGAGAGGATCTACTTATTCTGGATTAGACAGAAATGCCTTTCTCAGAAGTTTTGGAAAATATAAACTTGATTCACTGATGTAAAAACCTCCATGTTTACTACATTGCAGTGAGCAAAGCCTATAATTTCAGAGCAAAGGTAGATTTATTATATGGCCAAACAGTAACAAGAACATCTTATAAACCAGAATCATAAAACTCCCTGAATTAGAAGAACATGGAAGTGAAAAACCAAACCAACTTCCTGTGGTGGTCTCTGCTCAGTGCCAGAGGTGAATGAGACCCTAAAGGTACCTAAGTGATGTCCAAAGGTTTATCAGGTCTGTGCTGGCAAGCAAGGCAAGGTCAAGCCCAGGAACGCAATCTCAGCCATTAGTCAAAATGGGGCTTCATCCGGAATTCTCCAGGAATTCCTAAACTCTCTTTCATTTTGCTATAGTGACGTGGGAGCACTGAGTTTTCACTCAGAGTAGTAGTGACAATTTAATCAGCAATTCTTGATAACATTCTAAACACCTCCTGCTCCTACAATGAAGGCCAAAGCAACAGGTGCTAAATTAAACTTAAAAAACTAGGGAGTATCTACTGACCCTGTCAGTAAAGGAAAAGTTGCATAAAACCTACAAAGGAGTCCTTAGGAGGGCCACTACCACATCTAATGTAGAAATGCCCTCTCCAGCTCCATGCTAGCTCACTGGTCCAGCCACTCAGCTGCTCTAGATCTCAGCCTCCAGTTAGGAAGGTGAGAGAGAGAGAGAGTCGCCACTATTTAAATGAAAAGGGTACCGTGAGATAAGGTACGTACGTAGGTACGTCTGCGGTCCCTGCTGAAAGGCATACGTGAAAACCTTGTCTTATTTCACTTCCCATTCCAAAACAATCATCAAAAAGCAGTAAGGCCAGTCCTGATAGATCTTCACACGTGGGCATGCTTAGCTGACCATTTTCTTATAGCTCTTGCCTGATTACATCTGAATTTTCACATAGTTCTCACTCCCTGCTTTAAGTGAGCAGATGTGTTACAACAATGGGGAAGCTCTGCTCTCTCCCCAGGCTGAGCTTGCTTTGTGAGGGCATTGAAGAACGTGAGAAGAAATAGGTAGATGCCATGTGAAATAATAACAATCATAATTCTTAACGAAGTCTACCGTCCTCGTATTTGGCCCAGAGAGCGTCCATTCACCCATCTGTCCTGACCGCCTTCTTTACCATATGGCCGGTAAGAACACGGAGAAAAAGAATTCTGTTTACAATTCTGTGCACGGTTTGGCCCCAAACTTCATTCAAGTACACTTAGCGGTGAAATCAACAGTTCAAATGTTGGATAATTTAAAACACAAGAGGAAGAAGTTCCCCCTCACTTGCAACACCATTTCCAAAGACTAACCTACAAGGAGAATTTAAAGTAAGTATACACATAAACAATTTTTACAAAGACCAATTGATTAGGCGTCAAAACTACACAACATACCGAATCACCCTGTCTGTGTACTGAGTGCCGAGAGTGAGCGTTCTGTGTGGGAACAGGTTTTGGAGGAGGGGTGGCAGAGGGGGGAGAGACGATAAAACACATCTGCCGCGTGAGCTTCCTAAAAGCAGGCAGGCTTCTCAGGGAGTTCTGGAGTCCTGAACGGAATGCTGGGAAGCCTAGAAAACCCTCTGACTGGTTTTCATTCCTTGAGCGACACTCTACCTTTATAGCGTTTTAAGGGAACTCCTGACGTTTGTCTTTCAAGGAAGGATCCTACCAGAATTCCTATCAAAAGTAGAAGTACAAGAAGAACAATGAAAACTCCCGGAAGTTAAAGACGTGAAACGTCTCTCCAGCCTAGACATTATCATGTCTTGGTCTTGCACACAGTAGTCTAATCTAACAAAGAGCTAAAAGGAATTATTGATTTCAATTTTTTTCAAAACACATGTAACTAGAAAATCATCTGAGAACACTTTAAATGCATATCCACAGACTGTTAGGGGCAGAAAGTCCAATGTGTTCATAGCCTTTTCAGTAGACAGTTGGGAGAACAAGGGAACCAAAGGCCAACTTCCAAAACGTGACTGCTGTAGGTGTCAGCTAGTCGTGTGGCTTTACCCTAAGTCACACGTAGAAGGAAACAATTTACACACACACTCCTCCATTTGCTCAGTTTATGAAGGAATACATTTCAGAAAGAAGGGCGTGGGAGGGTTTTGTTTCTTAGTTATCCAACAGGAATTACATCCCGTTTTGCTTAAGAAACCTTAAATGCTAAAGAAAAAGAGCTCTGACATCATCTTTATCACAGGTGAGACAGGAAAATTCAGTTAAGAAATATTATTTCAAACAAAAAAAGGCGTAGTTGAACCAAATACAATTTGCAGATAACTAGAATTATATCTCAGGGCAAATTCCAAGCTATGAGGAAAACTATTAACTGGTTTGGGGATTACAGAAAATATTCTTAGAAGATACACCTACTTTTTTTTGAATATTTAAAGTTGCTATACAATGAACCAGATGTTTAGACACATAGACATATACCCAGTATATACTAAATGATCAAAGAAATATACACTCTGTTACAGAAAAATGCTAACATACCTGACACCCCATAAAATGGACTCTCTAAGAAGTACTAGAGGAAAAAAGTGGAAAGATGTATTTTACTCATATATATTTTATAACTGTGTATGTATATTCTCACAATGTGCAAAAATGTCTATAAAGTATCTTCTTTAATCAGAATTGTATGTATGACCTCAAAGCTCCAACCACAACTAATCCCCTTAACGAGCATCAAGGAAACAATGTTCTTCAAAATGATGTTTCAAATAAGAACGCTTTGGAAGGGTGACAGGCTCCTATTTAGTTCTTACTGATGGATGATGTTCCATAGGACTTCTTTCAAAGGCTTATTAAACGCTGTCTTTCCAGCTACGCACAGTGCAAACTTCATACTTAAGACCATAGACTGCCAGGTCCTAGAGTCATGTTAGATAATTGAGGTTGGATTATTTCCCAATTTCAAGAAGAAGGTAAAAATGGCATCTTTAATAAACTTAAAAAGTAAAATCCCAAAAAAGAAAAGAATTTTTGGGGCTTCCCTGGTGGCGCAGTGGTTGAGAGTCCACCTGCCGATGCAGGGTACGCGGGTTCGTGCCCCGGTCTGGGAGGATCCCACATGCCGCGGAGCGGCTGGGCCCGTGAGCCATGGCCACTGAGCCTGTGCGTCAGGAGCCTGTGCTCCACAGTGGGAGAGGCCACAGTGGTGAGAGGCCCACGTACCGCAAAACAAAAACAAAAACAAAAGAAAAGAATTTTTAGCAGTATGAAACAAGTCAGGATCACCAAGAAACATCCTATAAACTTAGCTAATTGTGGGAAAAGGACAGCTGAAACCTCAAGCCTAGGTTTGAAATCAAATGTATTTTCCAAACAAAACCAGATCCAAATACACGTATGTGACAACAACAAATCTGAAATTTATCAGTAGATATTTTCTCTGGTCGTATCCACATTACTTGCTATTACTGGATGCAAATAACTGGTCAGCTCAGGGACCATGTTCCGTAAAGCCCACAGAAGGTCAGCATCACACAGCATTTTAACAAAACCACGGCTTGATTACATTTCTCACTTGCTTCAGAAATGTTGGTCAAACCAAATCCTTTCGATTCTACTTCTTAAATACCTGCCCCCCACCGCCTTCTCGAAGTTCAGGGAGCCTTCAAGGACATTCGTGAGCTGGACCCTACCAGTCCCTCTGCCCCCATCTCCCACCCACTCTGACAAACATCCTCGGCTATCGTCAGATAAACCACTAGTGGTCTCAGGGCGCACAACGCTCCCTCTCGTCTGACCGCTTCTGCACAGGCTCCTCTCTGCCTCATCTCCCCACCCTGCCTGGTGCCACCTTATACACCTCATCAAAACAGGGCCGATTCTGGGAAGGCTACCCTGGCAGGAAACCTAGGAGGGCTGGGGCAGACATTCCTGTTCTACGGTCCCAGAGCACCTGCCAGGGTATCTGTCATACTGTCTTACATTTTCACCTCTAAGACCACAAGCTCTTTGGAGTCAGAAGCTAAATCTACTGCATTTATCTTCTAATCATAAGATCTAACAACATGTGCCTAGCACATCACAGTAAATATTCCAGTATTCAATAAGAGTTACTGAGGAGATAAATGAATAAATGACAAAGGTTAAGCCAACAGGACAAAAGAATACAGTATTCTGATTCCACATTAGTAGGTTTTTACCCTTAGAAAGCAGGTAAGACTATAAGAGTATGAACACAGATTTTTCACAACAGATCACAGACTTCTAACCGTTTTACTAAAAAGGTAGCATACAAATTAGATTTTAATAGAGTAAAAGACTGTTAAGCTGCTGAGAGTCATTCATATAAAATCCTACTACAAAGAAACTAAACACTACAACACAAAAATAAACACTATATATACCTAGTTTTCCTCTTCTTGGTTTTTATGACTGAACAACATTATGTCAAAAGTAACAACTACATATATTCTGTGATGATAATTTTCACCAATTGGGTTAGAGAAGAGCAAAATCAAAATACATGTGGACCCTACAAATTGCTTCTGAAAATTTATATAGGTTAATGGCTATTTATTGCTAATCAGTGAAAGACAAATGGAAAAAGCAACAGTGCTCCTGTGCAGGAAACTGTGCAGGAAAGAAGCCTGCCCATTCCCCCAGGTTAATGTTTCGCAAAATGACTCTAACCCACAGAAGCCCACAATGGTGTAATTCTTTCCCATCAGTGTGAAGGTAAACCCCACACATTTGTTAGTCCTAACTGAAAACTGAACCTGCTATCATCTGTAAAAAGCACAAACTGAAATGTCTTTTTAACACAGGCAAAGTGACATCCTCGGTTCAAAAACAGCTATTTCCCACAGGAGACAAAGTTATTAGATTATAATCAAAATTATGACCAGGTTGGGAATGGTGTTTCAAGATCTTTGAGAATTCTCACCTAATCCTATGCGGTTTGGACTTGTTTCTCGGCTACATCCCTGACTCCTGGGAATCTTGCTTCGTTTTTCTGAAGAGGGTGTCGCAGGTGGGCCTCTCGAGGAACCCCCAGCAAGGCCACTATAACCACTTCCCAACAATTTCCCTGGGGAACTTGATCGGCTGCCAGCTAAAAATGAAGCGAAACAAAATTGAATAATGGATGTAAATCAAGAAATAAATTACAGTAATTTCAGAAGTCAGTTTACACGTTAGTTTGGATCAAATACCAAGAGACTTTTATATAAAAATAGTTTTCTAGCTGCTAACATCACTAATTTTTCAAAAACTAAGGAGCATAAAGGAACATCAAATTATCATAAAGGAGAATTAAAGATGGAGTTCTAAAGAAATGACTGCAAAATTTCTGATTCAAAAGAGCAGGCTCAGGTTGAGTACAAAAAGCCTCTCAGTTGCACAGCAAATTTCTACAAATAATCACAAAGGCGTTTATTTATTAACTGGTTTGTTTTCTGTAGGAGTTGGTATGTTAAAAATGGCTGAAAGAGTAGAAATATAACAGAAATTTCTTAAACGCTAAAGGAAGACTCCATTAATCTAACAAATGGAAAAGGAGGCAGAAATATGGTAAACAGAAATCACAAGATAAAATGATAAGAATAAGCTCAAACATATCGGTAATCATAATAATGTGGCTGGATTAAATTCAACTATTAAAAGGCAGATTCCTGGATTGGTTTAAAAAAACTGAAATGAAATTCAACTGTATGTTGTTTATAAGAGACAAACAACATACATATAATAAAACAAAACAGAATAAATAACAGCATTAAAAGAGAAAAAAGGATGTTTCATATTGATTAAAGAATAATTATCCTTAAAGATATAATAAACATGAAACTTTATGCTCCACGTACCATAGCTTTGAGATAGAAAACACAAAAACGATAAAAATACAGAGAGAGATTGAAAAGGCCATAATTATTAATATACCTCTCAGAAAGACTAATACTAATGAAAGATTAATACACTACTCAGAAACTGGCAGAGCATGCAGTCAAAACTATACAGATATGTATAAACACACCTCCCACATATACACACAATGTATAGTCCAACAAACAGAATACACATTCTTTTCACATTTCCACACAGGAATAGTACAAAAACTGACTATGTACTAAGCCTCAAAGGAAATCTCAATAACCTTTAACAAAGGTAGAAATTATATAGAAAACATTCCCTGATGTGAATGCAATAAAATTAGAAATTAAAATCATAATATGGTTAGTAATTTTTATAAATGGCTAAGTGACTACATACCTATATAACCATTTCTTGTAAAACAAAATTCTTTCTTAAAGAAAGCAGCAAAATTTTAAGGATCGTACCAATACACCCAAATGGCAGCCATTAACTTAGATCATCTCCTTAAGCAGAGAAGGCAATAAAATTTGCAAATATCAAGTATTTGTTATCATGTAGCAGAATAGAATGATCCAGAGGGAAAAACCTTCAAAATAACACTTACCTGGAAATTAAACACACACACACACACACACACACACACACACACACACACACACCCCTCCATCATTCAAATAAATCACTAAGATGACTACTTACAAAAATTAGTACTTTATAATGATTTAACTACAGTTTAAGTGAAATTCATTACAAAATTATCAGTACACATTCCCATGAAGAACATGTCTCAGGATCTATTAATTTTGCCCATAAAATTTGAGCACACAAATAAACTATTAAGCTGTATAAAAGGAGAAAAGAAATCCATTTCAAACTCTAGAATTTGAACATACAGAAAAAATGCAGAAAGATTAACTAAGCTCATAAAAAAGAGAGAAATTAATATTGTGCAAGGAACATGGGGTGAGGGAGAATGCAAAAAACAAAAAAAAAGCAAGAAGAGAAATGGCTTACCACCAGCAGGATTAGCAGATCTGGATCCTTGATTATGAGAGCAGACCAAAGGACAGGCAAAAAGTGGATTAAAAGACAATAACACAATACAGAAGGTCAGCATGCAACACAGCACAAATGTCTTTTTTCACAAACACATTAGCAAAGGGCTGTTTTTCTAGGTCTTGTCCCTCCTAGCCTATTTTCGTACTTATTTTTACTTTATACACATCATACTATATTAGCATTTATTTCAGATCTGCTCATGAAACACTTATGAATCTACCATGCGCCAGGCACAGTGCCAGGCGGACGAGATGCAGAGAAGATGCCGGGCCCTTTGGGGGCACCTGCCCTCTGGTTCTGAGCAGCCTGGCGGAAGTGACTGCATCTTACCGTCTGTGTATCTCTACCCCTACGCACGGTGCTCACCATACAGGAGGTGCTCCAGAGACGTCAACCAAGTGCAAGAAACTGCTACTAAGTAGTTTCATCTGAATGTCTTATGCCAAATTCTCCAATATTTAAACATTAATCCTCACATATTTAAGTCCTCAACTATTCAAAAGATGCCAACTGTTAACTGTCCTAAATTTAATATCAACGAAATCTACTTACTCTTAAACCAGAACTATGAATGCTAGTATAGCTACATTCGTAAAATATCTAGATGTGCTCCTATCTACATATTAAAATAATTTTTAAAAGAATATTTGGAGGGTGGGAGGGAGGGAGGGAGATGCAAGAGGGAAGAGATATGGGAACATATGTATATGTATAATTGATTCACTTTGTTATAAAGCAGAAACTAACACACCATTGTAAAGCAATTATACTCCAATACTCCAATAAAGAAAAAAATGGCTTGAGGACTCCCCGGGTAGTGCAGTGATTAAGAATCTGCCTGCCAGTTCAGGGGACAGAAAGAGGTTCGAGCCCTGGTCTGGGAAGATCCCATTCCCTTGAGTGGAATTTGGTGAGTAAAATAAAATTGATGAGCTTTTCAAGTGGATCCCCAAGGCAAGGTGCAGTATTTTTATGACTGAAAAATTAAAGCTCTATCATCCCCCACTACAGAAGAACTTTATTTCCACCACCTCTTAAGCAGAGGACCCAGCTAGGGGCAGGGACCCTTGCAGAGGCCAATGCCAATAAACAGCAGACATAAAGAAATGGAAAATACTATTCAGCCCTCACTCTCCAAGAAAGGAAACAACCCTATACAGCCTATACAACCCTATACAATTTTTTTATTCAACTCAATGTCAACATATTGACTTATATTCTGAGTGTCGAACATTTTTGGCCAAGAAAAATTTTTTTTGCGATAAGACCCGACTCATATTTATGAGGTCATGACCAGAGTATTATATCTATCTGTGACTCCAGGTTTCACTAGGGTTCACCAGAATAACCAGGTCCTGGACACTAGTCCCCAGGCAGAAGCTTCTGGACTACACCTGCACAACCTATGCTGTGTGGTATGGTGTAATACACTAAAAGCACGGGCTTCTGCGTCAGACAAACAAGCCTGGGTGCTGTCGTCTCACAGCAGTATGTCTGACCTTGCACTTTCTTTACAGAAAGGACATAAGCTTCTTTTAACATGAGGACTCTAGTTATCAAAGGGACATGCGGAAAGCATCTAAATTCAGGAGGAGCTGAGGAAGGCATTCTAAACACCTACGAGAGAAGCTAACTAAGGTTTGGCCTCAGACTAGCCGCTCTCTACACAAGCCAGACAGCTCCTGGGGCCACGAAGGAGGCTGACTCCGTCAGCTGACGAGCACCACCACCATGGTCGCCTGCCCAGGAGGGTCCTGACCCCCCCGCCCCACTCCTAGTGCACAGACCGGGAAGCTGGGAAGTGAGACACCAGGCCTGAATCCTAAGAGAGGTCAGAAAACACTCATCCCGCCCACAGCTGCTTTCATGGCTTATGTTAACAAATCAGGTGACTCAACACATACAGAGAAGCAGCAATGGAAGCGAGCGAGGGCAGCCAAGCGAAGCGAGAGCCCACACTGGCAGGAGGAAAGGAGCAGAGTGGCATGTTAGCGCAGCGGGTGATGGGGGGGGGGGGGGGCGTTGGAAGGAATCCTACAGCTCTTTTCCATGGGTTCTGGTTCATTTAAAGAGTGGTTTGGAGCTGATATGATTAACTGGTTTCCTCAGCATGAAGTCATCTCCCCCCGGAGCTGCTCTTGAATGACATCAGGATCCCTCATCAACAGCAAAATGGGTCCCAGCCCAGGTACGATTCACTTTGGGAGGCTTGAGGGGAGGGAAACTGCATTTCAATGTTTCCTGCCTAAGGATACAAAGTGTAAACCACCTGGAAAGGGGACACAGGTACACTGGAATACCCCGTCTTGTAAGCATCCAACAAACATCAAGATTATTCACAGTGTCTTAGAGCCACAGAAATGTGTTTTTCCATTAAGTCGATGAAAATACTATAAATTTTCAGCTGCAGAATGGCTGTTGGATAAAACTAAGAGAGCAGAGAGCATAAAATATACTTCTTACGCTGGGACTGTGAGACCACTTTGGCGCGGCTGCGGCCCCGACTGTCGGAAGGCGTGGAGGTGACATTGGTGGCGCTCCCAGAGCTCTGCCGTCGCGTGCGGATCCGACCTGGAGGACACGGCAAAAACAGTGCTTCCGTAATGTTTCCAATACGCGCGACCACTCCTCGGGCAAGGGGCATGGGCTGAGCCACCGCCAGGGGAGCTGGTCTCCCATGTGTGGTCCTGACACGCGTCCCTGTGTGCACACACAAATTCTACAGACACGTCAGAAACTCCTCAGAGGGACTCAGGAACCCATCAGGTGCTTTGCTTTCAATTGTTTTAGAATATTCTATTTTCAGATGGGGAGGTGATAGTCACTTGAGGGCTTTTTCCACAATTTTTCTTTCCAGATTTAATTCTCTCTCCTGTTCATTGCCGACATATCTGTCGAATTTCCAAAAGCAGGAAAGAATATTAGCTGTCATCTTCAGAAAACTACTACAGGAAAAACAAACAAACAAAAAAAAAGAGTAAATGCAAAATAAAAGAAAGAAACCTTCTTAACTCAGCAATCAGCAAAAGCTACAGCACCCTGGAGAATAAATTGTGTCTTGCTATGTAGCATTAAACTTCTATTTTAAAGCATGTATGCCAGCAAGTTTCTAGGCTGCAAAAAGATGAAGTTTATAGAAAGAATCAATATTAGGAATACCTAGAGAAGTGACCTAAAAATAATGCAATATCATAGGCATTTATGAAGAATATTTGCCATTGTTTACGTAAAGGAATGTGTTAACTCCGATTATTAAAGCATGAAACCATAAAAATAAAAATGGATTCATAAATACAAAATCACTGATGGTAAGACTAGAATGATAAGGAATTAAACTTTTTACAATACAGGGGCTTCTTTGTTTGCAAAGGGGCACAAATGCCCCGATTTCCATAATTCAATCTGAAGAGGGAAAACACAAAGCAATCTGAACTCCCACTGGCTTCTTACACTGTTCAAAAGCACATCTACCTCATCAACTGAGAAAGTTTGCAGAAAGGCAATACGGAAAAACAAATCCTAAGGCTTGAAAAGGTTCAAGAAAGGAAGGTAAAGAGCAATAAAAGAAAGCACTGCACTTAATTAAAAGGAAAAAAAGGAAGAAAGAAAACTAGAAAGAATCAATGACTTTTATTAGCAGTTGAATGAAAGACCTACAAGTTCTAGAACCCAGACTAAAATTAGGAGCTATATGATATAGGATACTATGAGCTATATATGTGTGCACTCAAAATCCTCCCACCAGGCTTCCCTGGTGGCACAGTGCTTAAGAATCCGCCAGCCAATGCAGGGGACACGGGTTCGAGCCCTAGTCCGGGAAGATCCCACATGCCGCGGAGCAACTAAGCCCGTGCGCCACAACTACTGAGCCTGCGTGCTACAACTACCGAAGCCCGTGAGCCTAGAGCCTGTGCTCCGCAACAAGAGCAGCCACTGCAATGAGAAGCCTGTGCACTGCAAAAGAGAGTAGCCCCCGCTTGCCACAACTAGAGAAAGCCCGCGTGCAGCAACAAAGACCCAACGCAGCCAAAAATAAAATAAATAAATAAAATTAAAAAGAAAAAATCCTCACACCAACATGTAAGTAATTATTCCCACTTTATACATGAGGAAACAGAGAAGCAAGGGGGTTACTTAATTTGTCCAAGGTCCCACCACAGGTTCAGATGCCTGTGCCTGGCTGCCTGGCGGGCCGAGCGTGAGCTAGGGCATTTTACTCTGCTAAGGAAGTCACTAAGAAAACTGAACATGAAAAAAACAACTGAGTCTAATTTCTTAGGATTTTTTAAGTGATCATCCAAACCCTCTCAGCTAAGAAAATAAAAAAATCTTCTTTGCTATGTCCCTGTGTCCTCCACCTCCCCCCAACGCCCCCGCTGGTCATCATTCCCTAGCATTTCTTTATGTTTTTAATATACATAGTTGCATAACCAAGAAATAGATGGCATTATTTTATATTTTTTAAATGTTTTTAATCGTATCATAGGGTATATATTTTTCCAAAACTTACTGTTTGGCTCAACATTTTATCTGTGAGCTCAGTTACGGAAGTGATTTTTCTGTAGGACATAAAGGAGAGACCCGTTTTACTTTTTCTGCGTGACTAACGAAGGTCCAAACAAATTTACTTAACCATCTTTGTCACTTACAAGTACTTCTATACACGCAAGGGTCCGTTTTCTCCACTGTGGCGTCCGCCCCATTAGTCCATGTGTCCATCCTGTGCAACATACACTGTTGCGAGTAGCTTTTCAAAGCTACCTTCCTAATTGGTAAGGCAAATCAAGCCACTTTTCCCTAAAGCCCTCTGCTCTCTTGCATATGCTCACGCGAAGATGTAATAAAAAGACGTGTTGAAATTCTGACTGGCAATGTGGAATTTGGGGTTAAGCTGGGGGTGGAGGGGGGGCAGCTCTATGATATTGATCTTTCCATTCATTAGCATTTTCCCTTTTTCACCTTCTTCAGAGTCTTTCAATAAAGCCTATAATTTTTCCAAAAGTTTTATTCAATTTTTATAGACTTATTCAAAGGTACCTTATTTTTATTATACACAATACAGTTGATTAAATTATACTAACTTGCTGAAAAATAAGAATATGACTGTTTTATATATATATATATATATATATATATACACACACATATATATATATATATATATATATATATATTTTTTTTTTTTTTT